GGTGGGCGATGCTGTCGTCGTCGTCGTAATCTCCTCGGTCGTCGTCATCGTTGTCGTCGTCGTCATCGTCGTCGGTCGACGTTGGTCGTCGCCATCGTCATCGTCGTCGTTGTCGTAGTCGTTGTCGCCGTCGTCGTCGTCGTCGTCGTCGTCGTCGTCGTCGCAGCCGTCGTTGTCGTTGTCGTCGTCGTCGTCGAGAGTCGTCGCCTGTCGTCGACGCGGTCGTCCCCGTCGCTGCCGTCGTCGTCGTCGCCGTCATCGTCGTCGTCGTCGTCGTGGGTCGTCGTCGGTCGTCGTCGTCATCGTCGTCGCGGCCGTCACGTCCGTCGTCGTCGTCGTCGTTGTCGTCATCGCCATCGTCGCCGCGGTCGTCGGCCGTCGTCGTCTTCGCCGTCGTCGTCGTCGTCGTCGTCGTCGTCTTCGTCGTCGTCGTCGGTCGTCGTCGGTCGGCGTGGTCGTCGTCATCGCCATCGTCGCGGGTCGTCGTCGTCGTCGTCGTCGTCGCCGCCGTCACGGCCGTCGCGGCCGTCGTCGTCGTCGTCGTCGTCGTCGTCGTCGTCGTCGCCGGTCGTCGCGGGTCATCGTCGGTCGTCGCCGCAGTCGTCGTCGTCGGTCGTCGTCGTCTGTTGTCGCTGTCGTCGCCGTCGTTTTCGTCGTCGTCGTCGTCGTCGCGGGTCGTCGTCGTCGTAGTCGTAGTCGTAGTCGTCGTCGCGGGTCGTCGTCGTCGTCGTTGTCGCTGCCGTCTTCGTCGTCTTTGTCGTCGTTGTCGTAGCTGTCGCGGCCGTTGTCGTCGTCGTCGTCGTCGTTGAACGTCGTCGGTCGTCGTCGTCGTCGCCGCCAGCACGACCGTCCTCGTCGTCGTTGTCTTCGTCGTCGTCATCGTCGTCCTCGTCGTCGGTCGGTGCCGTCGTCGCGGGCCGTCGTCGGTCGTCGTCGTTGTCGTCGTCGTCGACGCGGGTCATCGTCGGTCGCAGCCGTCGTCGTCGTCGTCGTCATCGTCGTCGTCGGTCGGCGCCGTCGTCGTCGTCGTTGTCGTCTTCGTCGTCGTCGTCGGTCGTCGTCGTTTGGCGCCGTCGTCGACGCGGATCATCGTTGTCGTCTTCGTCGCCGTCGTCGTCGTCGTCGTCGTGCGCCGTCGTCGTCGTCGTCGTCGTCGTCGCAGCCCCTCTTTGCCGTCTTTGCCGCAGCCGTCGCGGCCGTCGTCGTCGTCGTCGTCGTCGTCGTCGTCGTCGTTGTCGTCGTCATCAATCGTCGTCGGTCGTCGTCGTCGTCGCCGCCGCCGTCACGGCCGCCGTCGTTGTTGTCGTCGCCGCAGTCACGGCCGCCGTCGTCGTCGTCGTCGTCGCCGTCGCGTCGTCGCTCGTCGCCGTGGCCGCCGCCGTCGCTGTCGTCGTCGTCGTCAACCGTCGTCGTCGTCGTCGTCGTCGCGGCTCGTCGTCGGTTGTCGCCGTCGTCGCGGCCGTCGTGGGTCGTCGTCGTCGTCGCGGCCCTCGAAGCGGTCGCGGCCGTGGTCGTCGCCGTCGTCGTCGTCGCGGGTCATCGTCGGTCGTCGCCGTCGGTCGTCGTCGTCGGTCGTCGCCGCCGTCGGTCGTCGCCGTCAAGGCCGACGTCCTCGTCGTTTTCGTCGGTCGTCGTCGTCCTCGTCGAGGGTCGTCGTTTGTCGTCGTCGTCGTCGCGGCCGTCGCGGCCGTCGTCGTCGTCGTCGTCACCGTCGTCGTCGTCGTCGTTCGTCGTCGTCGTCGGTCGCCGTCGTCGTCTGTGTCGTCGTCGTCGCCGTCGTCGTCGTCGTCGTCGTCGTCCTCGTCGTCCTCGTCGCGGGTCGTCGTCGGTCAACGTCGTCGCCGTCGCTTTCGCCGTTGTCGTCGTCGTCTTCGTCGTCGTCGTCGGTTGTCGTCGGTCTCGCCGTCGTCGGCTCCGTTGTCTTCGTCGTCGTCGTCGTCGGTCGTCGGTCGTCGGTCGTCGCCTCCGTCGCGGCCGTCGGTTTCGCCGTTGTCGCCGTCGCGGGTCGTTGTCGGTCGTCGCCGTCGCCATCGCCGTCGCATCCGTCGTCGCGGTCGTCGTCATCGTTTCCAGCGTCGTCGTCGGTCGTCGCCGCCGTCGTCGTCGTCGTCGTCGCCGTCGTCGTCGGCCGTGGTCGTCGTCGTCGTCGTCTTGGGTCGTGGACGGTCGTTGCCGTCGTCGTCCTTTTCGTCGCCGTCGCCGTCGTCGGTCGTCGCCGTTGTCTCGGCCGCCGTCGTCGTCGCCGTCGTCGTCGTCGTCGTCGTCGCCGTCGTCGCGTGTCGTCGTCGTCGTCGTCGTCGTCCCCGCTGTCGTCGTCGTCGCCGTCGTTGTCGTCGCTGTCATCGTCTTCATTGTCGTCATCGTCGTCTGCCGTCGTCGACGTCGCCGACGTCGTCGTTGTCGTCGTCGCTCGTCGTCGCTGTCGCCGTCGTCGTCGTCGTCAGCGTCAGCGTCGTGGTCGTTGTCGTTGTCGTCGTCGGTCGTCGCCGTCGTCGCCGCCGTCGCGGCCGTCGTCGTCGTGGCCGTCGCCGTCGTCGTCGCCGTCGTCGTCGTCGGTCGTTGTCCGTCGCCGCCTTCGCCGCCGTCGTCGTCGTCCCGGTCGTCGCCGTCGTCGTCGTCGTCGTCGTCGCCGTCGTCGTCGTCGTCGCCGTCGTCGCCGCCGTCGTCGTCGTCGTCGCCGTCGTCGTCGTCGCCGTCGTCGGGGGCCGCCGTCCTCGCCGCCGTCTCGACCTTCATCGTGCGGCCGTCGTCGTCGTCGTCGTTGTCGTCGTCGTCGTCGCGGTCGCCGTCGTCGTCGTCGTCGGTCGTCGTCGCGGTCGCCGTCGTCGTCGTCGTCGGTCGTCGTCGTCGTCGGTCGTCGCCGTCGTCGTCGTCGTCGCCGTCGTTGGTGTCGTCGTCGTCGTTGTCGTCGCCGTCGTCGATGTCGTCGTCGTCGCGAGTCATTGTCGACTGTTGTTGCCCTTGTCCCCGCTCTCCCGCTCTCGCGGCCGTCAGCGTCCGTCGTCGTCCTCGTCGTCGGTCGTCGTCGGTCGTCGCCGTCGTTGCAGTCGTCATGCGGCCGTCGTCGTCGTCGTCGTCGTCGTCGTCGTCGTCGTCGTCGTCGTCGTCGCCTTCGTCGTCGACGGGCGTTATCTCCGCCGTCGCGGCCGTCGCCGTCGTCGTCGTCGTCGTCGTCGTCGTCGTCGCCCGTCGTCATCGTCGTCGTCGGTCGTTCGTCGTCTGTCGTCGTGGTCGTCGCCGCCGTCGTCGCAGTCGTCGTGCGGCCGTCGTCGTCTTCGTCGTCGTCGTGTGTCGTCGTCGTCGTCATCGTCGTCTTCGGTCGTCCTTGTCGCCTTTGTCGTCGCCGTCGTCGCCGTCATAGTCGCGGCTCTTCGTCGGTCGCCGCCGTCGTCGCGGCCGTCGCGGCCGTCGTCGTTGTCGTCGTCGTCGCCGCCGTCGTCGCGGGTCGTTTTTCGCCTCGCCGCCGTCGTCATCGTCGTGCGGCCGCCGTCGTCGTGCGGCCGCCGTCGTCGTCGTCGTCGCGCGGCCGTCGTCGTCGTCGTCGTCGTCGGGCGGCGGTCGTCCTCTGTCGTTTGCGCCGCCGCCGTCGTCGCCGTCGTCGTCGCTGGTCGTCGTCGGTCTTCGCTGTCGTCGCCGCCGTCGCGGCCGTCGTCTGCGGCCGTCGTCGTCGTCGCCGCCGTCGCCGCCGTCGTCGTCGTTGTCGTCGTCGAGTTCGTCGCCGTCCTCGTCGTCTTCGTCCTCGTCGCCGCCGTCGTCGTCGCCGTAATTGTCGCGGGTCCTCGTCGGCCGTCGCCGCCGTCGTCGTCGTCGCGGCAGTCGTCGCCGTCGTCGCCGTCGTCGTCGTCGTCGTCGTCCATCGTCGTCGTCGTCGTCGTCTTCGTCGTCGCCGCAGTCGTCGTCGTCGTCATCGTCGTCGGTCGTCCTCGTCGCCGTCGTCGTCGTGGATCGTTGCCGTCGCCTCCGCCTTCGCGGCCGTCGTCGTCGTCGTCGTCGTCGTCGTCGTCGTCGGTCGTCGGTCGTCGTCGGTTGTCGCCGTCGTCGCCGCCGTCGCGGCCGTCGTCATCGTCGTCGCCGTTGTCGCCGTCGTCGTCCGTCGCCAGCGTCGTCGTCGTCGTCGTCGTTGTCGCCGTCGCTGGTCGTCGTCGGTCTTCGCTGTCGTCGCCGCCGTCGCGGCCGTTGTCTGCGGCCGTTGTTGTCGTCGTCGTCGTCGCCGCCGTCGTCGTCGTCGTCGTCGTCGAGTTTGTCGCCGTCCTCGTCGTCTTCGTCCTCGTCGCCGCCGTCGTCGTCGCCGTCGTTCTCGCGGGTCCTCGTCGGCCGTCGCCTTCGTCACCGCCGTCGCGGCAGTCGTTGTCGTCGTCGCCGTCGTCGCCGTCGTGGTCGTCGTCGTCGTCGTCGTCTTCGTCGTCGTCTTCGTCGTCGTCGTCGCCGCCGTCGTCGTCGTCGTCGTCGTCGGTCGTCCTCGTCGCCGTCGTCGTCGTGGGTCGTTGCCGTCGCCTCCGCCTTCGCGGCCGTCGTCGTCGTCGTCGTCGGTCGTCGGTCGTCGTCGGTCGTCGCCGTCGTCGCCGCCGTCGCGGCCGTCGTCTTGCGGCCGTCGTCGTCGTCGTCGGTCGTGGCCGTCGTCGTCGTCGTCGTCGTCGTCGCTGGTCGTCGTCGGTCTTCGCTCTCGTCGCCGCCGTCGCGGCCGTCGTCTGCGGCCGTCGTTGTCGTCGTTGTCGTCGCCGCCATCGTCGCCGTCGTCAAGTTCGTCGCCGTCCTCGTCGTCTTCGTTCTCGTCGCCGCCGTCGTTGTCGCCGCCGTCGTTCTCGCGGGTCCTCGTCGGCCGTCGCCTTCGTCGTCGCCGTCGCGGCAGTTGCCGTCGTCGTCGCCGTCGTCGTCGTCGTCGTCGTCCATCGCCGTCGTCGTCTTCGTCGTCGTCGCCGCCGCCGTCGTCGCCGTCGTCGTCGGCGTCGTCGGTCGTCGTCGTCGCTGTCGTCTGCGCGGGCGCCTGCCCAGGGGCCCAGATGGCGGCGCAGGGCGGCAGGGCCAGGCAGCTGGCCGAGATCCTGGCGGGCCTGGAGCCTCGACGCCGAAAGCCCCTCGGGCAGCAGCGAGGGCTCAGACCCCTTTCGGGCCATGAAGGGATCACGACCGGGAGGGTGTGGGCCGTTTTTGGCATCCGGGGCCATAGCTTGACCGCGGGGCCGTCGAAAACGACGGAGGGCTCCTCCTCCTCCTCCTCCTCCTCCTCCTCCTCCTCCTCCTGCTGCTTCTCATCCTCCTCAGTCCTCTCTTCCTCCCTCTCCTCCTCCTCCTCCTCCTCCTCCTCCTCGTCCTCCTCCTCCTCCTCCTCCTCCTCCTCCTCCTCCTCCTCCTGCGCCTCCGTCCTCCTACCGGCCGGCCTCCGCCCCGATCCTGTCCTCCGGTCCTATCTTCCTCCTCTCCTCCTCCTCCTCCTCCTCCTCCTTCTCCTCCTCCGCCTCCTCCTCCTCCGTCCTCTCTTTCTCCCCCTCCTCCTCATCCCCCCCCCATTCCTTTTCCTTATAACTTCTCCCTGTCGCACCCTGAGGCCAGCTTTTAGGGCGGACCGGGTGTTTCACCTCAGACTTCCTCACCATCTATGACCCTGAAGCTTAAACTTTGGCAGCAGTTTCACAAATGGAGAACGGGTGGTTTTCAACATGTGGCTCTCGCTTTTCCGCCGCGCACGTTCGTTTTTAAGACTTGCAAGACCTTCACGAATTGATGGCGATCCGTTTTGAAAATGTGGTTCTCGGCTTAGCGCCGCGTGCATCCGCCGTGACAGTTGCAAGAGATTCACGGATTGAGGGCCGTTCTTTTTCAACATGTGGTTCTCGCCTAAGCGCCGCGCACATGCGTTTTTGTTAAAAACAAAAACATTTGGAAGAGTTTCACGGATGTCCATCGTCAGCGTACCAGAAATTGTGTTTTGGAGGGATTCAGGATTATGAGAGTGCAACTGTTACGCTGATTCGCGGTGATGAAGTCCCAGGAATGGCGTTCTGGCGCGATTCAGGATCGCCAAGACGCAACAGTCAGGTTGATCCGTCGCGTTGGAATCCAGGGAACAATGTCTTGGCATGCTTCAGGGTCTTCTAACGTTCGTCTTCCAACGAGGCAGTTCCCTTAGTGGAAATGAACCGTTGTAAGGGGCCTATGAATAGGGAGCTTGGAGGGAGGGTTTCTTCCAACATCGTTGATGGCTCTTGGGTTTACACTGGTCCTCCTCGTCCTCCTCGTCCTCCTCGTCCTCCTCCCCCCCCTCCCCCTCCTCCTTCTCCTCCTCCTCCTCCTCCTCCTCCTCCGTAGCCATTATGGCTCAGGCCATGAGTTCCACAGGGGAATGAGTGGATATCGCTACTGCGCGGCCAGACCCCAAGGACCTGCACCTCCCGATCCTCGCAGCGAGCGGCCCCGCCGCTCAGAGCCCGCGGCGCATCCCACGCTGGGCGCTGTGGGTGAGCGGAGGCATTTCGCGTTCCTGCTTCGTCCGTCGTCATGCCCGAGCTGCTCGCCCAGCGCGCCGGCCCCGCCCCCTTGGGTCCAAGGCCGCGCAGCGCCGCAAGAAGAAGCCTCGTCGCGTGCACGGTGACGTACCTCCTCCCGGTGCCAGCGACAGCTGTGGCTCGGCCGACCGTGGCGTCAGCGGACCTGGTGGCGCGGGCCCTCCTCCACTGCTGGCTCCAGACGCCGATTGTCAAGGCTCTCCCGTTCCTGTCCCTACAGTCGGCCCAGATTAGTAGGTCGACCCTGCCAAATCAAGGGTACCCTTGTGTCCTGTGTCTCGCGGCCCATGCTTCCCACATTCCTGTGGCAATGTGGCCCTCGGAAGGGTCTTGTGTCCTCTCGCGTGTCCTGTACAATCGAGTCCGACTGTATTCACAGTGGTGCTGGTGTAGACGACGAGCAGATGGAGAACTGGAGTGAGGACGTCGACGGCCACGCCGATCTGTTCCCCCTCAAAGCGCGTTTGCCGACGCCGGCCATGAGTGGTGGACCCTCGCTGGTGAGGCAGCGGAGGACGCTGAACGTACTGCTCTTTCTGCCGGCCGCCATCGTTCGCCGTCTTCCCGCCCCTCGCCATCTTTTCCCTCTGTATTGGCTGAGCATGCCCATCTGCTGAACCTGCTCGTCCTCAGGAGCGAAACGTCTCCCTTGGGGAGAGGCGTTGTTGTCCGTGGGCGCTGCCATTCTTCACCGACGGCTCTATTTTCGGCGGCCACTTTGATGTCTTCCTCTCAGTCGTCGATGGTTGTGCCGCTACCGAGCATGCTCATCCTCGGGAAGGAAACATATCCCTTGGGGAGGGGTGTGGTATTGGGTGCGTGCAGTGGCCCCTCCTCGACATCCTCTGTGGCAGCCGTGGTGGAGATGGTCTCGTCGGGCGGGGTCAGAACGCAAAGTCCCGAGCTAGTCCGCAAGGGGCTCCGTCGCCTCACATCTTGCTAAATCGCGAAACCCCGTGACAGTTCAGCTGGACGCGGTCGCGGATTCTGTTGCTTCACGTCTTGCTGCGCTTTCGAGCACACGGGCTGCCGTCGTCATTTTGTTCCCACGTGGCGGCCCGCTGCCCCTTGTTCAGGATGCACACCGTCGTCGCCAATAACATGCCAGCCTCGCGTCCCAATGGGCGTCGCAATGGCTCCCGACGCCCTACTACGACGTTCCTGCGGACAACTTCTTCTCGTGACTCGACTGGTGTGTGGACTACGTTTTCGGTATCCTGCGCTACGAAGGCTTTGCACCGGCTTTCGCCAATCGCCAGGTCAGCCTTCCCTCCGCCAAGGGAACGGCGGCGGAAGAGATCTGCCTAGCTGGGTTGTACAGGTCGGCCACCCCATGGGAGCAGCGACGTCGTTTTCTTCGGGCCACCCGTTTCCCAGCTTCGCGCTGTCTGCTCGTCACCTGGTCCGCCGCCACATGCAGCTGTTGCAATGGAGACCTGACCCATCGCTCATGGTACCTGACATGCGCGCGACGCTTCTCAGGTGGGCGGCGGGCGAGGGTGCGTGGCCGCGGCGGTCCTTCGCTCGACCTTTGCCAGCGCCTTCCCCGCTACTGGTCCTCCCTGACGCCTCGGGGGAAGATTTGGACGTCGATCCGCTGCCCGCGGACATGCGCTTGATGCCATCTTCCTCTGCCCATCCTTCGAGTACGACGCAAACGACAGCTGCCTCGGCCCCATGGTGCACTACCCGTCGCCGACTGATTCAGACCTGGCTGCCGTGGACGGCCAGAGTGGGCTTCCCCTTCCTGGCGACGACGCGTTCATGCCCGACCACGATTTCGACCTTTTCCTCGACCCCGGTTCTCGCCCTCCCCTCGGGACCGCCCAGGGCATGCGCCTCCGCCGCTGGCGCCCGCCCCGCGCGCCCCGTGACCAGCGAGCAGCTCGGCTGACCCAGCGCCGCCCGGTGGTGATGCTGATGCTCTTGACTCGCGGGTGCCCTCGCCCCCAGGGGTGGCGCGACCCCACCGTGCATCAGCGGCGCCCGTGGTGGCGCTCTTCGCCCTGCCACTCACGCAGCACTGCGAGAATCGCCCTTGACGCACTTGCTTGAGGTGCTGGAATTCCCGCGCCGCGCCTCCATGTTTGAGACAGTGGGCTCGGTGACTTTGGTGACGATGCGGACCCCGTTTACCTGGAGCTGGTGGCCGTGCAAGCGATGGCGGGACAGCAGGACGGCGACGACCTCGGCTCGCTAGCTGCCGTCTTCCCTGACTTCTGCCCGTGGGGCGCTGCTTTCCTCCTGGAGCCGCTCTCGGTGGACGGGCCCATCTCCCCCGCGGAACTCTAGGGGGCCACATGCGAACCCTACCCCTACCCCCTCAGAACTCGTGGGGGGTAGGGGTGGGGTTCGCATGTGGCCCCCCGAAACCCGTGCCCGTCGCCGCCCCTTCCGACATCGGCCTGCACATCAACTCGTCCTCGACGGCCGCGTCGCCGCCCACCAGGGCGCCCCCTGCGGCGCCCCGAGGCCCGCCACGGGCGCCCCGCGCCCCCGCGGCTTGGGCGGAGCGACTGCTCGCCTCGGGACGCTCGCTCCTCCTCCTCCTCCTCCCTCTCTCCTCATTCCTCCTCCCTCCTTCCTCCTCCTCCCTCCTCTCCTCCCTCCTCCGCCTCCTCTCCTCTCCTCCTCCTCCTCTCCCTCTCCCCCTTCTCTCCCCTCTCCCCTCCTCCCCTCCTCCCCATTCTCCTTTCTTCCTTCCCCCCTCCTCCTCCCCCTCCTCCTCCTCCTCATTCCTCCTCCTCCTCCTCTTCCTCCTCCTCCTCCTCTTCTTCTCCCCCGGTTAGGCGGCCCACTCGCAGCGAATACCTTTTTGGGCTTTGTTCTCAGTGACCTCGTCCCTGGCATTGCTTGCCAGCTGGTTCCCGGCACCGGCGACCGCGATATCGCCCTAGCTAAGCTGGGTTTTCGAGTGAGTTTTTCAGAGCCTATAACCAGAGAGCATTGGTTATGCACCGCGGCAGATACACTGCCGACGATGCGGCCGCCGAGTTTGCCGAAGTATTGTTGTCGGCTGCCGGGCGTTTGATCCTTGCGCGGCGGAGTGCCGTTCGGAAGTCCTCCCAACCGCGGCTGGAAGACAGGCGCCTGCAGCTCTTTGGCGACAAGGATCAGGCGACAGGAACACCAGAGTACGCCAACACACTCACAGTCGATTCGAACGTTTCGATAGGGGGAGTACAGCAAATGTGACGCTTGCATCCTGCAGCGCATTCTTGCCCTGCGACCTTCTTCTAAGAAATGGTGAAAAGGAGGGACCCATGCAGCGCTCTCATACTACGGGCTGGCCATTCGTCCTTATCGTTAATTCCGCCTCTCCAGAGCTCTTCCAGGCAGTGGGCGACCAGCCCGAGACAGGGCCAAAATATTCAAGGCGCGTTCCGCTGCGAAGTCCGTCCTCTCGCCTGCAGCAGACAACGATTTCTCTGAGTTGCAGTCGGACGGCGACCGCAGAATGCGCGGCTTCGGATTTGTCCGCGCCCAGGCCGTTCTGAAAGTCCTGAAATGACTACGCGAAGACGCCGGCACTGTTCCTGACTCTCTCTTTG